ATAGATATATATATATATCTCTGTTATATAACTCCAACACAACATAATTCCCCTCTAAAATGCCAGGAAACATTTCTCCCGGACAGCTGGACTGCCAAGTGCAGATTCCATGTAATTGAAATGTTGTATAACTGCTCGTTACACTGACATGAAATCCTAGTCTCTCCACACAAGTAACTGTGCATCAACTCTTCCATTTGTGCTATTTGAAAACTCCTGCAACCGTACATTAACCTATAGCATAGTCATTTGTATTTGGATTGTACCAATACATTCATATGTGGAACAATATTTATGGTAGGTATATGATACTGCACACACTGACGTTTATAGTGCAACTGGACCTTAATAGAGTTTGTACAACAAAATACTTCTAGTGCCTCAGTTACTGTAAATATATGTTTACCAAAGCTGATGTTTACATTTTTGTTTTACAAGGTATACACCCAGTACAGGAAGTGTATTTTTCATGTCTGTTGAGTTTAAGTTGCAGAGGACACCTTCCTAACTAGAGGGAAAAAGAGCCCACAGTACGCACCTTTTAATTGTATGACCTATAATTAGGGATGCACCGATATATCGGCCGCCAAAACATATCGTCCGAAAATTGCACTTTTGGCAAAATGCAGAAAGTGCAATTTTCTGGCCGAAATAGCAGTGCATCTTTCTCTCCTCACCGCAGAGCGCTGCTCTGTGTCCCAGCGGGGAGGAGAGAAACTGTCACGGACGGCCGAGTGCTGTGGGAGGAGAGCGCTGTGAGCGGCTGGCGTCTCCTCCCACAGCGCTCAGCCTCCTGTCACAGATCGGGAGAGCGGTGTGGTCGGAGACAGCTTGCAGTGCTATCACAGGAGGATGAGCTCTCCTCCCGCTACGCATGGCTCAGCCTCCTGTGACAGCTGTCAGGAAGGAGAGCGAGTACTAGCACTCAGCAATCAGTGATCGCTGAGCGTTTGTAAATAATTGAGGACAGAGAATAGGTTACTATATCCGCAATTATGAATGAATAAGAAGTGATCTACATTACCTCCTGTTCATTCATGATTGCGGATATAGTAAACATACTATGTTCTCATGTTATGAATTAACAGGAACACTCAGTATAGAGGATTCCTGTTTATTTATAACATGGGCTGCAGAAAAAGAGATTAAGGGCCCTGTGTCCTCAATCTCTTTTTCTATTTTAAAAGGGAAATAGCAGGGGTCCGATTAGACCACAATATTTCCCAGAAACCCCGAAAAAGTAAAAAAAAAAAAATAATAAAAATGAATGGAAATTAAAATATTTTAAAAAATTGGAGTTACGTACCTGGTAACTCTGTTTCTAGGAACCTTCCAGGACAGCATTAGAGAGATAGGCTCCTCCCACCGGAAACAGGAAACACATCATCCACACCTAGAATAAAAAGAGTACCAGCCTAGCACACCTCAGTTAAAACATAAGAACCGAAGGATACCACATCACTAACTCCGTCTCATGGAAGATGTACACATACAGAATTTATACATATGTATATATGTACTTCAATCTCACATATATGTATATATGTACTTCAAAGTACGGCATCTCGCAGCAAGCCACACCACTAATCGGGTGGGAATCCCTGCTGTCCTGGAAGGTTCCTAGAAACAGAGTTACCAGGTACGTAACTCCAATTTTCTCTAGTCACCTTCCAGGACAGCATTAGAGAGGATAAACGAGCACCATACTTACAATTCAGGGCGGGACCACGGCTTGCAGTACTTTCCTTCCGAAAGCCTGATCTTGGCTTTTGTAAGCAGTAATTGAGCTAAATACATTCCGGTTGCAGCAAAACAAAAGGTGTGCAAAGTATTAAAGTTGGCGTAGCTTAAACTTCAGTTGCAGGCAAAATACAAAAGCCAATCACTTGCCAGCAACTGCAGAGTGGGGCCCCGATGCTCTCTGTGGGGAAGCAGGAATCTCTTTACAGAGGTACACAATGTTCCCTGACAAGCCAGAGCCACAGCTTTCCAATCAGTGGGGAGCATGAGCTTTGCTTATAGTTAAAAATACATTAAAAAGTGACATGGATGGGTAAACAACTGCATCAACATGCTGTGCAATGGCTGCTTGTGACCACAACATATGTAGGTTTATATATAGATCTATATATATTTTAATCCAGAAGAGAATTTGGAATCAACTCCAAATCTACTCTTCAAGCACAAATCAGACATATTACTACATTTCTGTATCTGGGTGCAGCACATATAAATAGTCTTAAAGTGACACTAAATTCAGGAGTTAAATCTTAACACTGCATTCAAGTACCTTAACTATTAACAAAAATGTACCTTTTTTGTGATCACTTGGCTGTAGTCCTCAAATCATCACTGAATTGGTGGTGACACTGTCCTTTCTTCTGGAGGGTGGCTACATGGTTGCTGCGTGACGAACTACAATCTCACATTTAATTTACTAATTTGTTTTGAGATTGTAGTTCATCTGCATTTTTTTTTGGGAGTGACTTGCATTTGGACTTCCGGCTCCCTGAGCTTTTCATCTCGCTGTAGTAGGGAGACGTGCACAACTGAACAACAACCTACGGATCTACTCAGCGGGACACCAACAGTTGCTGCACAAACTTTTCAAGTCAAGTCAACGTCAGGGAAAAAGAGAAGAGCAGATGTATGGATGCATTTTACATTTGATGCTAATGAGAACAAGACCCTTTGCAAACCATGTGGAGCAACAATCGTAAGTCATAACAGGTTAATAGAGGTTTACTCCAGGAATATATAATGAGTTTGGAAATTCTAGAGACTTGCTTAAATAATGCATAACATTAAATAAACACATCAGATTCAGACGAATAAAATCTACTGGAGATTTAGGCCTCATTCACATGAGAAAAGGCCGGCATGTACAGCTCCGTGCTGCATGCATGGCCATATCGGGCAGCTCCCATGAAGGACGCTCTCCCCAAGTGCAGGTCCGTACGGGTTCGGGTGTCCCGGCTCGGACGCAGGCAGGATCCATTCTGTCAGTGTACGAGTACGGACACCTGCACGTACGTGCAGGGCGGGTGAGCGTAGGGCGGCGTACTCCCATAGAGAAGGAGAGTGGCTGACTAAAATACGACAAACTAAAATGGCATTTTAGTCAAAAGGCTAAAACTAAGACTAAATTGAAATTTGGCTTCATAATTAACACTGGTTCATCATGGGAGCGAGCTTGGAGCGGTGGCTAATTTACAACACACACAGGGACCATGGGGAACAAAAGTAGCCACCCTCCAGAAGGAAGGACAGTGTCAGCACCAATTCAAAGATGATTTGAGGATCTACAGCTGAGTGATACACAAATAGGATACATTTTTGTTAATAGTTGGGGTACTTGATATTTTTAAGATTTAACTTCTGAGTTTAGTGTCACTTTAATGTATCTAATTTTGCTGACAAAAGAACAGCTAAAATACCACTGCCGAAGGAGCACATCTGTGAACTTTAAAATAGATGGTTCCTGGAAAAATAAAAGATATGTAACTCTCTTATGGGATATAAATACATGGCTATTTTTGAGCTGGAAAAAGATAACCGTAAAGACGAGATCAACATGACTGATTTTGGCTATATTACAGTTCACATAAATTGACCTAGGTGGCTAAATGCAAACCACACAGTAGACAAACTCAAGCAATGTCCTGGGGTCTATTTACAGCCTAAATTAAAGTGATATTAAGCCATTTCAAATGTTGAATAAATCACTTACAGTGGATGCTTGCTCCCTACTCTTAACTAGTAGAACAAACATTTTCATTTTACCTAATACTTTTTCACTGGTGTTCCTTGCACAGTGGGGTTAATTTACCAAAAAGAATAGAGCATGTCCACTTTGAATTTTTCACTAAGCCTAATTAATGAAGTGAAGCAACGTTTACTTTAACCCCTTCATGACTGAGGCCCTTTTTTCCATTTTTGCACCCTTGTTATATTCCACATTTTAGGCCTTGGCCCCTTCTTCGGGACGCAGAAGCGATCTGGCGACAGGTAAGTCGCCAGGATCGCTTCTGTTGTAAAGCCGACAGTCGGCTCTACAAGTTTAAACAGAGTCCCGGCGGCAAAAGTCGCCGGGAGTCTGTTTAAACAGCCCCGATGCTGGCGACGTACACTGTACGTCGTCAGTCACGAAGGGGTTAAATCACGTGCAAGGGAAGTGGGAAAAAAGCATTTTTACTTTCACATGATTTGATGGCTGAAGACAGCATACAGCATACTTTTACCTAATTTAATAAGCTGAAGTGAAGATTCACTTTAAGTAAAGGACTAGAGCATGTTCTCTTTGTGAAAAAAAAAAAAATATGTGTATAGGCATCATTTTGTGTAATGTGCTCATATGAATCTTGAAGCAGAAGCGTTCTATATTTCGTTTCTCTAGGTGATCAGTAGGACAGCATGTTGAAGAAAGTAAGCTCTTCCTTCATGATCCCAACTTACTGACAGCTAACCCAGTGCCAGAAAAAAAAGCATGAAGTGCTTGTTCAATCACCTGCTCTTCATCTCAGACAGTTCCAGTCATCAGCCTGAGCTAATTGGAGCCAACAGGCTGGGCCAGTCCGATGTTAAACACCAAGAATAAGGACAAATCTGCAGGGTTCATTAATACTATTCGTATACCATCCCATAACCTCTACTATCTGCCCCAAGATTTTCAGCAAAATATGTGACAAAGTCTCAGAATGAAAAACAGCTATCGCCACTTATACTTTATGCTCTAGGCATTCAACCACAGTTTAAATTCATGGCTAATACAGGCTTGATGGTTCTAATCTAGGCACTGAGCAAGCAATTAACAAATATTCGCTGTAAGGTTACTAGTAATAAATGAAAAGTCTACAGATTTGCGGCAGAGAATTTGGTGCAACCAATCATAAGAATTGTTACTATCAGTCACAAGAATAAAATAAACATCTTAAACAATTATGCAAACATATACACTGAACTATTTCTTTTGCTTTCCAAAAGCATATATTACATGCAGAGCATTGTAGTAAACAGCATGATGGTTTAGTAGGTGACACGAGGGCTTATAGTGTTGGCTTCATAAATTCAGTTCCTAGATAAATGGAATCTGTATGCTTTTACGGTTGTTCAAATTGGTTTAACGCACAGTCTAAAAACATACTGGTAGCTTAAAGGCCAACACTAGCAAAAACATTTTTTTGTATACAAGTTTTTATTGTTGTTGTTTGTGCCCGTCATCAAAAATGTTCCCCCATTTCCTGGTAGAACAGAAAGGCAGAATACAAAGTGAGGGGAAATCTCCTCAATGGAGACAGGCAGCAATCATTTTTATTTTACTTTTTTTTTCTAGGGTTAGAACTTCTGTTTAGTTATTATTGTTGATTTATTGTGCCCCTATTGGGAAGACACCCCCCGCCCCCTTGTTTTCTGTCCAGTTGGTCACTGTCACAGGAAATGAGGCGGAACTTCCATGAAGTGGACATAGACAGTATTTAAAGCTGTTCCTTAACCCTTCGAAACCCTATCCAAAAAACATAAAAATATTGTGCATGTAAGACTGTTATAGGCACGCTGTAAGCTTCTTTGGATATACAGTACTGTGTTCTCGCTGCAAGCCTTGAGCAATCAGGAAAACATTATCTTCACACTACGCTGTCATCAATCTTGTATGTTATTCTGGCTCTTGACCTTGCCTCCCAGGTGCAGCTTTCTGCCAGCATCTCATAAAACAAGATTATAGAGGGGCTAAGATGTAGTTGTGCAAAAGACAGTCAAGTCAAAAATGCAGCTCAAAAGCACCAAGGACAGAAAGTTATACAATAAAGTAAATTATTTACACTGTTATTATTCACACATAGACAATAATTTTAAAAAAATATCAACAGTGGATGCCCAAAACAAATAAAATGAACTCATCATCATAATAAAAATATAAAAACAAATGTACAGATCTACTGGCAGAATGAACATCTGAAATAACTATGTTACAGTGGACTCAAAAACATAAACCGCTGTTTTAATGTTTAAACTGCAGTCAATGTTTAGTACAAAATCCTTTACTTGGAGTCCATTGAGGGGCACAGGAAGTCTTTAAAATGCCACCTACAGGAGGACTGCACACTGGCAAACAGAAAGACTGCAGACAAGTCCAAGATAACCCCTCCCACTACCAACATGCCTCAGTTAATAGTAAAGTAATAGAGAGAACATGTTCATAACACAGTGCGGTGTGACCTTTGTCCCTCAAACTCCAAGAAAAAGATTTATGGGCGAGTACAAAAATTATTTTTTCTTTCTTGTACAATAAGGGACAAAGAAGTCTTTAATCTATGCAACATCCAATAGCCGTCCTGGGGTGGACAACACAGCAAACAACCACTAACAAGACCAAGAAAAATAACAGGGAACTGGGGACTGCCTACAGCTCAAAGGGCCACTTGGAAGGACCTTATGCCTGAAGGTGGTGCCAGATCAGACACTGCAATATGCACCTGGTAGAAGTTAAAGAACATGTGAACACAAGTGTCAGAATATCCGGGAGGCAAGTTCCACCGACAACCCTGCACCAACATCGTGCCCAGTTGGTCTTAACACAACAGAGCTGTAGAAAAGACATCCATCCTCCTAGGAAATGGAAGCCACAAAGGCATGCTGGTAGTAGGAGGGGTTATCCTGGGCTGGTCTAGTTGTTTTGTTTGTCACTGTCCATCCCTCCTGTAGGTAGCAGTATAACCCTAAGGTTAAAGACTTCCTGTGTTCTTCAATGCACGAGAAGAAAAAAATGTTTGATTTTGCCCACAGCACTATATAGCATACAATGGAAAAATATTGTTCACATTTGCAATGCACCAATAAATAACCTCTAATGATGGGTATGCCTTGTGTGGATGCGCAATGTTAAGTAAAACTCAATTTCATTGATCCTCACAACTACATTAAATCGCTGAACTTCCACTGTAAATCACAGTTCCATCTTTCATACCGTCAAGAAGAGCAATATATTGTATTTTAATTATAGCCATATAGTTAGTTACATCTTCTACTCATCAATGAATACCTACAGCATTACCAGTCATCTTGGCAATCTCTTTCAGCTTGTTAAAGACGCCCAAAACAGTAAGTTTTGGTGGTGTGAACATGGTGCGCTGGTTACTTCGGCTGCTCTCCGCAACAAGTCCAAGATCCCCCTTTTCTTGTGCCTCAGCTTTAATTTTATCTAACTGACGCCCTGCAAAAAAATGAATAAGACAGGTATGGAAATCACAACAAGTAAAAATAAAAGTAAATCACAGGAAACCTGTCAGTATATAAATATGGGATCTGCAGTTGATGAATTGTTTTTAAAAGTAAAAGTTCTGGGAGATGGCATTGCCAACAAAATAGTCCGTCATGGACCTAGTACGCATATGGTTATATCAGTTACCTCACTTGCTGCATGTTAGTTTTGAATCACTAACTTACTAGGTAGGGAAGCTAGTGTAAAGACGAAAGACCCTGTGTCTGTATCTTTAAACACCAATCTATACTAGCAGCTCCTGTGTTTTAACCTTGCAAAATTATTTTTAAAACTGCAAATTAAGTTACAGAAAATGCAACCCACATATTGAAAGGTAGAAAGAACCTCAGCAGAATTTCCTATATTAGGCTGTATTCGTAATCTTAGCTTTAGTAATTAGCTGATAGTTTATGCTGAGCTCGTCAAAAAAGTGCATACATATGATACTGCTTAAATCTTTTTGCCTGGCTGTATACCGTAGCTAAATCTACCATCAACTCATCAATTTTTTTTTAGAACTGTATAGTACAATGCAGCTTCAAGACATTCAGAATCACAGCAGGACAACCGACAAGTTACACTTTAATAAAACCCTTAGTCAGAGAATACGGAGGCTTCCATCGACCTGTTAAAAATGCTAGCTATCTGGCTGTTCCAGTGGCTTCAGTACTGACCTATAATAACTAAGCTGATCAGGAATTCTGACTTTAATCTGTCTTTCTATTTTACATGCTTGTTCCAATTAAGTAACAAATGACTGAAGCAGAGGAGAGCATAAAATTCCTATTTTCGTTGTTGTCCATTGAGAGAAACAGTCTTATACTCTCAGGATATACAAAAGCAGCACAACTGAGGGGGTGGGCAAAAGCAAACAAAGCACTAGTAGGCCCACAAGAAAACAACACCCCTCAGGACTGCCTGCAGCTCAAAAGCCACCTGAAAGACCCAAAGCTGGCATCAGATGAAGCCCGAACATCCACCTGGTAAAACCAGGAGAATATGTAAACAGAAGACCAGGTGGCAGCCTTGCAAATCTGAGAAACAGTACCTTGATCCTGAAGAACCCAAGAGGCACTTACAAATTTAATGGAGTATGCCTTGACAGGAAAGGGTGGCATTGATCCTTGTGACCATAAGCTTGGAGAATGGTCTGCCTAGGGCACCGAGAAATGGAGTAATGAAAAGCTGGTTCTTACTTATGGGGATCATCAGGAATGCAAAAAAAGAGTCAGCCTTTCTGAAGAAAGCAGTGATTGAGAGATAAACGCTCAACGCCCTCCCTACACAGAGGCAATGGTGGGAGATCTCCTTCTGATGAACTGGAGTCAGACAAAGGGATGCAAGAAAGATGCCCTGGTTGAGGTGAAAGGCTGAAACTACCTTGGTTAAGAAAGAACTTGTGGGCCTCAATACCACCTTATCCGTGGGCAAGACCAGAAAGGGTTCTTTACAGGATAAGGGCATGAGCTCAGAAACTCACCTCGCAATGGTGATGGCAAAAAGAAACACAACCTTGTGGAGTGTGGAAATTGGAATATCCCTGACAGGTTCAAAAGGTTGTATTTGAAGCAGAGAAATGCAAATTCTATAGAGTTACAGTCAAACGAACAGAAAGGAGCCATATGGGAGGCACAAAGGTCTTAAAAATTGGAAATAAGAATGCAAGAGCAGAGACATTCCCATTCATGATGCAGAGGGACAAATGCTACCATGTGCAGTGACAGACCTTGCGAGAAATAGGCTTCCTAGCTTTCAGCGTTGTGGGAATAACGGATTCAGAGATGCCTTTGTCCCTCAGGACCTGGACTTCAACAGCCTTGCCATTAAAGCCAGGACTGAGGACAAGGATGGAGCTTCAGGGGAGAAAAGGCATAGATCAGGGTGTACTGATCCCGCAAAGCCACTAGAACATTTACTGCTTTGACTAGAACAGGGATGTCCAAACTGCGGCCCTCCAGCTGTGGTGGAACTACGAATCCCATGAGGCTTTGCAAGATTCTCACAGCCACGACTCCCAGAGAGAGATGCTTCATGGGATTTGTAGTTTCACCACAGCTGGAGTGCCAGAGTTTGGGCATCCCTGGACTAGAAGATCCCAGTACCTGGAGACAAATCCAGTTTGTTGTTGAACCTGGAAGCCAGTAGGTCCACATCCGGCGTTGCACACAAGTGATCCAGGTCTGAATGATCAGGGCTAGATTGTCCACCAGAACCTGTGCCAACTGTTCCTCAGCAATAGGTTATCTAGATTTGCAACAATGGGAATGCCCTGGAAGCACAGTAGGGCCAGCACAAGGGGCAGCACCTTTGTGAACATTCAAGGGGCAGAAAATCGGCCAAATGGCAGGGCCACAAACAAGAAGTGCAGAAGACCCACAGCAACGTGCAAGAATCACTGACGCACTGGACATGAAGGTACGCTACCTTGATGTCCACAAAGGCCTGAAAGTCTCCCTGATGAAGGGATACTATGACAGACCTAGTAAATTCCATGCTGAATTTCGGGGCCCGAAGACATACAGGATTTCGGAATCCAAGATAGGACAGTTTTGGTTTTGGCACTTAGAACAGGTTGGAGTAAAACCCCTAAAACCGTTCTGCGACTGGGACCATGACATCCTGCTTCATAAAGGAAGACTGAAAACAGTGGGTGCATGGGAAAGATGTTGGCAATGTTAACAGAGTTAACCATTTTCGGGGTAAAATTGACAGAAAGCAGGAAAGTTAAAGGCACTCAGTGGTCCTAATACAAGATGTCTCCCGATGCTCAGCGTGACCAACTCAGTGAGCCATCAGAGAAGCAATAACGTTCTGGGTCAATGTCATTGGTCTTGACCTGGAAAGTGTCACAAGCTGAACCCAGTGCCCGAAGATTTCACGCCACCCTAGCCAGAGTGCAATGTCCAGTGCAGCGGAGTCCAACTACAGCTCTGCAAAGCCAAGCTGAGAACAGGTTGATCCCTATAGCTACATGTAGAGAACAGTTCAAGCAGCAGTGTAGCAGGAATTTTGATTGAAGATAAAAGAGCTCTCATAAAAAGGTTAGACTTTCCTCAGCAGAGCTTAAAAAAAATGTCCATCCCCCTAGGACACTAGCAAAAAAACTGGGGCATGGTGGGAGTAGGAGAGATTATCCTGGCCTGCACATTTTATTTATTTGCCAGTGTCCTATCCCCCTTTCGGTGCCAATATAATCTGTCAGTATAAGATGTCCTGTGTCCCTCAATGGAAAGAAAAAAAAATCCTCTTGATCCTGCCAGTAATCTAATGCTGTCCTGTGCACAGTATGTCTCTGCTGCATTTATATCAATAAGCATTGTTTCCAGCTCTCTTTACAGAACAGTGTCCCCCATGTTGTGGAGATAAGAAGAGAGAAATCTGCTCTGTAGTCCTAACACTTTCTGTTCTACTGAGACAACACTGCTCCTCCATAGTCACGATACAGTGAGCGGGTGCAACCCTCAGACAGGAAGTGTGTTAATGGCAGGATCACTAGGTGAAAATAATGAAGCAATGAAAAAATAAATGACACAAAGCCTGAAAAATGAAAACCAATACAGCCACCAAACCTGAAGACTAGTAAGCTGCAATAGATTAAAATGTTCTAGAAATAGTTCAAAATATGAAATACCCTGAAAATACTTTTCACTAAAGCACTACAATTATATGCCTTTCAATTTAAATAACATAGTGTTCTGTGTTTTATGTTACAGATCAACAAATAGTTAGTAAATGTTTTATACACCTTCAAAAATAATGAGTTAGTTGGGTATATTAAAAAAAACGTTTACTGAAATATATTCTTACCAGTCGCTTGTGCAATCGCTTTCATTAATATAGTTTCTCCTAAACCAAGTTCAAGCCCTTCATAAGCAGGACCCAAGCGGTTCAAACAGAGGTAGATACAAGGCAAAAGATCCCCCGGAGACAGACAGATAACAGAACGCAGAAAATTACTAAGAGTCTCTATGTTCTTTAAGCTAAAATAGAAGATAAGGAGTATATTAAAACAAATACCTGGAGGAAAAAACGTTTTAAAACATGCATATTAGTAGCATTACTAGCTGTGAAAATGAGAAACAGTATCACAATTTATATCAAGCTTGGAGCTCTTAGCCCTTGACAGATTTATTTTAGCTGCCAAAGGTTTTAAAAGAAGGTGTTGTGACAGATTGTCTACCCCAAAACAGACTAAACATTACTACCTGGTTGAAGGGATTTCTATGTTTACATTACTGAAAACTAGGGATGCACCGATATAATCGGCCGCCGAAACATATCGGCCAAAAATGGTACTTTTGCTCTGTGTCCCAGCGGGGAGGAGAGTAACTGTCACAGGCGGCCGAGCGCTGCAGAAGGAGAGTGCTGTGAGCGGCTGGCGTCTCTCCTCCCACTCCTAGCTTCCTGTCACAGATCGGCAGAGCTGTGTGTGGGCGAAGACAGCCAGCGCCGTCACAGCAGGCTGAGCTCCGCTCGCTCAGCCTGCTGTGACGGCTGTCTGGAAGGAGAGCAAGGTACAAACAATCAGTGATCGCTGAAATCGTGTAAATAATTGAGGACATAGCATGTGTACTATATCCTGAATTATGAATGGATGGGAAGTGATCTACATCACCTCCTGTCAATTCATGATTGTGGTTATAATAGACCTACTCTGTTCTCATGTTATGAATGAACAGGAACACTCAGTATAGAGGATTCCTGTTCATTTATAACAGGGGCTGGTTACTATATCCGCAATTATGAATGAATAGGAAGTGATCTACATTACCTCCTGTTCATTCATGATTGCGGATATAGTAAACATACTATGTTCTCATGTTATGAATTAACAGGAACACTCAGTATAGAGGATTCCTGTTCATTTATAACAGGGGCTGCAGAAAAAGAGATTGAGGACACTGTGTTCCCAATCTCTTCTTCTATTTTAAAAGGGAAATATCAGGTCTGTTTAGACCCCTAACATTTCTCAGAAGCCCCTAAAAGTAAAAGGTAGGGAAGGACAGAGGTAGAACTCTTGGAGAAGGAAAATCAAGACATCTATTCAGATTAAAGAATGTGCCTGGACACACTGTAAACCATTAAGAGATAAGTGTAGGCACTTTATGGTGTCTGAACTAAAGCATGTGTGTGTGTGTAGCTGCATGCACTGTATTTGTTATACATATAAATTTCACAGATTTATTTTGAAGTGAAATGCTATTGCGCAGGCTTGAAATGTGTGTGGCCCTTGAGCTGTTAAAGTACATTTAACAGCAGGACCTGTTGTGAGTTGTGGCTACCAAGCTGGAGTAGGACAATGTTTATGTACAGCCAGTAATTAAAATAAGATGGCATTCAAGCACCTACTTCTGCAGTTATGTTAAGATTTTAAAGCACTAGAAGCCTTTAATAAATGACTTACCGTGCAGATTCATCTTCAATCATTTCAAAGGTGCGTGCAACTGCCAGGTATGGAACCCTAAAATAAAGAAAACAACAAAAAAGTTACAAATTACAATAGTTCCAGTCCAGAATATCTGAAAATGTCAATATACCTGAATCCCATTATGTCCATTACCATTTACAAGTTAATATTACAGGTAGCACATTACCTGCACTTTTCTTCAGTTCCTTTGTTTGAAGTCTAAATAAATATCTCCTTTGTACAACCAAGTGCCACACCTACCATATGACATTATCATTTCTTATAATGTCATATGCCAGAGCCAGTGCTGGCCCAGTATAAAGTCTGAACCTATAATCCAGGCTCCTTCAGGCAGTAAGAAACTGCTTGTACCATAAAGTGCCCACACTGGACCAGTAGTGCTACTTTATACACAACAGGTGCATTATGGTTTCCCTTTAAGTGGTTGTATATGGCTGCATTTTTTAAAGATTTATTTTATTACAGATTAGAGAACAGATAACTGTGTCTACCACTACAGTAGGAACCAGCAACTAGATCACAAATATATGCGCTCTTTCTTATGAACCAAAATAACTAGTAAGAACTATAAAAAAAAGTTCTAAGACTCAGTAGAGTATGAGATTTATAATATTTATAACAGTCAAATGATAAACTTGGCAGCTAGTATATAAATATGTGAAATAAAAAAAAAAAATAACAAAAATGTCCAATTTTCCTTAAATAGAGCTGCAAATATTCGATTTCCCAGGTTTCATTAACCCCTTTTCTGCCAAAGACGCAAGATTTATGTCTGGACAGAACCGACTGCAGCTGACCAGCTCAGTAAGCCTTATGTCCTTGGCATTCCTCACTCTCCCATGGTCCCTTCCGCAAAAGTGTAGAATGTGCCGGGGCTGTAGAGAAAAGGAGACTGCAGGCTGTGTGTCCTAGATCTCTTTCACCATTTTAAAAGTGAAATATCAGGGGTCAGGTTCAGATCCCTGATGTTTCACTAAAGCCCCTAGTAGTAATAAAACAAAAAATGCCGGCATGCGTTATGGTCCACAGTTTTATTTTGTAAATTACATTTATTCAAGGCTATGCTCAGCAACACACTGTGGCACATTGCTGAACGTTGTAACATGCTGTATTGTGACAAAACGTATGCCTTGATCATTTCATCACAATGACACTAGCACAAAGAAAGAACAGAGCTGTGGATGAGGCACTACCCACAAGGCATAGATGTGAAACTAACTTCCAGATTTTTAGCATAAGCTGATTATTTACAGTTTTGCATTCCTCTGAGTTTCACAGCTTTTAAACAAGGCACAATTTAAAATGTACAAATATTTGTTAGTTATTAACTCAATCCAGTTCATTATTTTAGTGTGACGGAGTCTACAATATCACTAGCACCATCTTTTTATTCTCCCAGTCCTGTGCCTTCAGAAAATGTGGTCTGAAGAGTCTTTTACAAACTCTGAAAGTTGCAAGTGGAAAACTACAGAAAAAAAAAGTGAAACATTTTTAAAATGGTCTGACCGGCCTGGTAGCAAAAGTGTTAATGCATTATCAGTAAATATAATTTCCAAGAGCACCACCACCCTTACAAAAAAGCCAGTATGGTCTTCAGCAAGGTACCTTTTGCTGGTAAGGTTAAAGGGTTCAAGAGTGGGACAACTTGGGTTGTGGGTTCATCGTCAGCAGTAACTGCATGGGCATAATACTAGGCAATACTTACATCTGGCCATTAGTCCAGCAGGCATCATTTACTGGATGATAACTATTTTTTGATGGACTGTAATCTGCCTGTTGGTCTGCAACATCTTGCTTGGTGGCTCCAAAGAAGCTAAAAAAAAAAAGATAAAATGTATTTATATAAGAAACAGAAGGCAATAATATTTAAATAAACCTGTTGCCAAAATGCACAAGTGAAAATACCATCATGCCCACTAGGGCTGTAACAACTAATCAATGAAATCGATAATCGATGAGTATAGTTGGCAACTATTCTCATTATTGATTAGTTGGGTGGTGGGGGAGGGAGAGATATTTTTTTTCAATCCAACCAATTGATTAATCGAAAAAATAAAATCAGGCAACTAATCGATTATGAAAATAATTGTTAGCTACAGCCCTAATGCCCACTGCAAATGCAGACTATGAAATAGGCATCTACTGAAGGCTTCAATGACCTTTGTTCACAAAGGAATTAAACAATCTCTCTACTGAGCATAAGCAGGCATTCAGTAAATGTCCACCACGACTTCAGCTTTCCCTGACATTATCTAAAATTGGGCACTTGACTTCTTTTACAGCACTATGTCATTAAGGTGCATGCTCAGTACCACCTTCCCTTACAATTCTGGGACATATAGCATATTTAAAGCTAAAACATTACTAGTAGTCATCAGTGCACTGAGCCAGGGGGCAATAAATGAACACACCTTAAGAACATGGAAGAATGTGGTGTAACTTCTTACACAGTACGGCAGCAAAGACTGTTCTTTGTGTCATTACAGGAATACATGTTAAACTAACAACATACCAATATTCCTCATACTATCTCGCCGCATTTCCCAACTTGGTACATGTGAAGCATGACTAAGAAAGTGATCACAATTTTTTTTTTTATAAACTGTAGAAGTATATATGACATAAGCAGCTTCCAATCTGTAACAGTAAACTCACATTTGATAACTGTGTACTCCATTTAGAAATGTTCACATAAGCAGTACATTATATTCCAGACAATCACAAGTCTTTTACCTTGAAATATTTTTGGTGGGCTTTGCAGGAGTGTTAGCTGAGGACTTCTCAGTAGTCTTTTCAGAAACTTCTTTTTCAGAAGTTTTTTCAGAGACTTTACTCTCTTCCTCTGAGTGTTTGTCAGACATGTCTTCACTCTCTTTTTCAGATGATTGATTTTTAGTCTTTTTCTCTGAAACTTTTTTACCCTTCTTTTCAAAGAATTTGTCTGACTTTCCTTTACCCTTTTTTGAGTTGCCAGAAGATGGACTTGCACCTGCTGAAAAAAGTGTATGATTAATACAAGTAAGATTCAGGAACTGAGGCTTGTGTATATACCTTCAAAAAAACAGACTGGGATTTCAATGAAAATGACAACACAGTTTTGTGTATGGACCATTCCACTTGCTATTCTATTTCAATAAATATTTACTGACTCTCATGATATAGTGCATAGATGTGGCATAATTAAGCTGAATTGATTATTGTGAGGTAAATTAAAATATCTATGAGAAACTGCCTTTTAAAAATGGATGGCATATTGGGATTGACATAATATATTTGTTTATATGCCTTTAAAGAATCAGTAGAGTCTGCGGTGGGATCGGGATGTCCTGTGTCTCACCCCGTAGTGTACCTGGGCACACTCCAGGGATATTTTTAAAGGACATCCTCCAGCCAAATGCACAGTGAATATATGTATATATGATAATTATATGTTAGAACACAATTGTATACATTGCTTTGCTATATACAATACTATCCATTTAAAATGTGCTATTGTAGTCTAGCCACAATTATGCTCCAGAAGAAGCAAAATGATATCCAAAAAATGCACAAAGATTTCTACTCAGCAAATACACTATATTTGACCTTCATGTAATGTTTGTATATGTTAGAATTTAGTTTACATGTATGGATAGCGAGTGGGTAATGGATAGGGAAAAGAATTACTAAAAGCCCATTTCCACCTTAGCAGAGGTATTTTTTTAAAAACACATGTCACCAATGTACACTGAGTGTACATGAAGCAGGCATAAGCAGCTGATGTATATGAACACAGAAACGTAAATGTTTTGTTCGCTTTCCTCTTCATATCCGCATAAAGATTTCTGCCTCTGTGCTGTGCAAGAAATGTGTGTATACCCCCCAGACAGTGTATTGTGTGTAAAGGCAGAGCTGGTGTTTCCTGATCATGTTACAATGTGTAACCGGGAGGGGGCCAGTTGATTACAGTCCGACACCCTGGTGTTAGACTGATTTTCCTGTGGAGAAAATTTGGAGGGTTTAGGCTTCAGGCCTAATAAAACCTTCATAAAAAAATGTAGAAAGCCTTCAATGTGAGTCATGAAAATGTGCACATGTAAACATCATCACTGCACCTCTTCATTACCACAATATATGCTAATCACTTACAAAAGGTGGGGATGGACTTTAAAGGCTGTAGAATATATGAATCATTGTTAAAAGCTGTTTTTAATATATTTTAAATGTATCGCTAATAAAATGAAGATTTTTTTTAAAAATTATACAAGGCTTTGTGTGGGCTCCAAAAAGTGATTGCTTTTTTTTTTTTCTTCTAATTCCGTATAGCTGAATATTTCTATAGTTTATACAATCAGATGACAACACCTAGATTAAATACAATATGTTCCACATGCAAGTTGATTTTTTTAATGATATGAAGTAAACAAATATTATAAACAAGTCAGGGTAGTAAGTTGTATAAAAATGCAGATGCCTACTTTTTTCTTCAGTCTTTTTAGGTGATGAGTCTGTGGTACATTGTCCAGTCTCTTCTTCAGGTTCAGACTTAACTGCAGATTTATTAACAGCTGTTAAAAAAAAATGTAAAAAAAGCTATAGGTATACATAAATATTTGTATAATTGTTCAAAAACAAGAGGTGAACCGATATTGAATTTTTAGACCGAAACCGAAAATAAACAATTTGTCAGGCAGAAGCTGAAAACTATATTTTAATTAATTATCTATCATTTTTTCTATTTCAAAAAGGGAAATAGTCTGTTTAGACACCGGATTTTCCCCCAAAGCCCCCAACAGTAAAGTAAAAAAATAAAATATAAATATACACACACAATATTTATTTGTCAGAGGAGGCTGAACGGGCAGTGTGGTGTGGAGAGCTTGACCTCCTGTGACACCGCTGACAGCGTTCTCCTCCCCGCACTCTCCATCCTGATGTCAGTCACAGGAGGCCGTGGAGAGTCCGGCCTAATGTCATAATGCTGACAGCACTCTCCTCCCTGCCCCACTCCGCCTCCTGAAAGTTTCTCTCCTCCCCACTGGGCGCTGCTTTGTCCCACTGATCCCTGGCCCTCTGCCGACACAGGCAGGGGGAGCAGTGGGGATCAGAGGGGACACAGAAAAGTGCCCAGTAGGGAGAAGAGAAACTAGAGATGCACCGCATTTTTGGCAAAACAAAATTGTACTTTTGGCATTTTGACCTAAGTACCGTTTTCGGACGAAAAATTTAGATTGCCGAAAATTCGGTGCAACCCTAATTTAAACTGTTTAAAACTTTTAGTATTAAAGGGCTCATTAATTCTGCCACAAAACACGTTATGTATGCGATTTTAAAGCCAAACTGTTTTACACAGAACTGATGAGGGTTCAAACCGCTGTCAAGCTTTTATTGTGGTCTTTGTTCCCTCCCTTCCTGTTCTGGTGACAGTGGTACAGGAAGTTACAGGAAATCTCTCCAAAAGCAAAAGAAAGCCACAAAACATTTTTTTGTTGTGCCTATCATTGAAATCTGCTCAGTGGATTCACGGACAGCGATAAAAACCTGACAGAGGTTCATACATGAGGTGTTAACGGGGAAAAGGCCTAGATCTTGGCTCACAGCTCCCACGGAGTCACCAAGAATCCACTGCTACTGCTAGAGGATTCCTGTACCTAGAGACGAATCTGTTCATCATGCAGATGCACCAACCTCACGTTATTTGTTACCTCTTTACAACAGAGTGGCCCTAGTTTCCAATGTGGCAGGGGGAATGTACAGCTTTTCCTTACAAAGAAAAGTGTTTTGGGTCTGATTAATGTCTTTCTGGTAAGATTGGCAGACATAATCTTTTTACAGGTGCACTGATGTTCATCATTCAACAATTCCATTTGGTCATAACAGGCATTTACTAAACAACAATTTTAACAGACCATGGCCTAGTAGAATTCTAATCCTTTTCTTCAGCTCTGAATAGGAAGGAGCCAAAACAATCCCACCTGTAAGAGCAAGGCTGACTGAGCAGATCAGCAAGGCTCATTGGGTCTGCTAGAATGCCTCTAAAACCAAGAGAGACTAATATATGTAGGAATTAGTCTATCAGACATATAACGTATGTAAAAAAAAAAAAAATAGTATTTATAATACTGTCAACTAATCAGGCTATAAAGCTCATAAAGACTTCTCATGCAGCTAGTAGGACATAAAGCTGTAGCGTACCCACATACTCCCTACACAGACAAAATTGCTGCAGCACAAGAAATCTGAATATCTTGTATTGATCTTTTGGCTTACGTGTTTTTGTCTTTTCAGGTGATGTGTCCATGGCACATTGTTCGCTCTCTTTGCCTGATTCAGAGTTCTTGGGAGACAATCCTGTAAAAATTAAAAGATATTCTTAATAAAGCTTCTTTCTGGATTAACAGTATAAGAAAACAAGAGAAGATTGGGTGAAGTACAAGGGAAGGAAACCTAGTAAGAAAAAACCTAGCTAAATATGAATTTTAAAAAAAACTTTGAAAGGAAACCTGTACTGGCCGATAAATACAGAGTCTATGGGGTCTATTCACAAAAGGGTGAAGAGTTTGGAGATGCCAGGAGAAGTGAACAATCTAGGACAACATCGCTGAGCTGGAAAAAGTCTCCAATTCAGCTCACTTTCCAGCTCAGCTATGTTGTCCTAGATTGTTCACTTCTCCTGCCTTCTCCAAACTCTTCACCCTTTTGTGAATAGACCCCTATGTTTCTGGATACAATTTTCTTTTGTTTTCGATAAATACAGAGCCTTAAATTGCTGACCTTCCCCTGAAAATGCCAATTGCCTGGTTGTCTCTTTCTGCAAAACTTGAGTCACCGAATCGTAGCATACATCCTTAAGTGTCAGAACCTTTGATTTGAATAATTTTTTACAGAGCAGTCACAGCAGTATTCAAGTATTTGGGTCAGCATGGCAGCTAAGCAACCAGCCTTTTAAAAAGAAGTTGGCAATGGCAGCCCAAATAAAAATTCTCAGTAAAGGTTTCTCAAAGGAATGCTGTCAGGAGAGAATTATGTGAACTCCCATTGCCAACTTTTTTTGTTGAAGGTGCACACTCCATGGCTGTCATCTTTATAAATACTTCCCTACTTAACAAGTTAGGCCCCATTCACACTGAGCGATTTATCGAGCAATTTTTGCAGCGATATCGCTCATATTTCCACGCGATATCGCTCTATGTAGCTTCTCCAATCCATTTCAATGGAGCTGTTCACATCTCGTCGCTCAATATCGCTTGTAGCTCCTACATGACCCTTTTTTCGAACGATTTCGAGCGATTTTGCTCCTGATTGCATACAGCCCAATAGGAAAAAGTCGCTCAATATCGCTCGTCGCGCAATATCGCTCAAAATCGCGCGATTTTCATGTCGCTCAGTGTGAATGGGGCCTTACTGACCCAGGAAAACCTTGAGCCTAACAGATGCGTCAACATCAGACATGCACATGTATTTTCCATGTTAGTGATCATCCAAAAAAAAAAAAGTCTGGATAGGCAACCGCTGAAAAACAAGTCATCAATGGTAACTCCTATAGCTCTTCTAACAGGTTACTTTTAGCACAACATGCGTCACCTACAGGGCAAATAACTTAGAATCGTGGTACTCAAATGGTGGGTCGCGACACTATGTTCAGTGGGTCCTCAGCCTTCCCCTAGCACAGCACTGTCAGTTCTTGTGCTCAGCAGCCATTCAAAATATGCTGCCTGGTGCCAAGTGTTAGCTTTAGGTTGGGTGGGCTATGGCCACGGGCAGGGCCGGATTTACTCTCCCTGCCGTCCCAAGGCCAGGTTCTGTGATGCATCGCCGATTTCACATGTAAACGAAAAATCGGCGGCCTCACTCTACATTTAGCTCGGCTTGTACAAAGCAGGACTGAATGTAGAGAGGGTAACTTCCCCACAAGGACACCGCTGCCGCCCCTCTGCGCCCTGCCGCCCCAAGGCCGGGCCTCGGTGGCCTTGTGGGGAATCCGGGCCTGGCCACGGGGGGGGCCCAGGCTGAGGGTCCACTCCAGTTCTCGTAAGGTAGGGAGACTGAGTGGATCTTAAAAGTGTGTGTGTGTATGAGATTGTGTCTGTGGTTGTGTGTGTCTGTAAGTGTTTTTGAGGGCCCGTTCACACAAGTACAGTACGTTAATTGCAGTTATGTGCGATTAATGCACTGTACCATGCAATTGCACCTATCATTCATTCTGTGGTGTGGGATGTTGCCTTGCCATTCATTTGTATGGCAACCCAAATGCACCTCCCGCCCACAGTTCAATGGCCAGCACCAGAAAATGTGATACCACAATACGATGCATTCCAGTGCGGTGCATCTTGGATCGCAAATTAATGACAAAGGACAGATGTGGGTCCTGCGGTTACACAGGTTGAGAACCACTGACCTAGAAAATACTTCACTGCGAATGGGGTGGTCCAGGCTAGAAGGAGCAAGCTGGAAACATATTCTTGGACCTAAATGCCTGGGGTAAGAGATGCAAATACTCCGGTCATCTCCATGTCATCTACAACATCACCCAAAATCCAAACAACTTTTATCCAGCATTCATACATTTTTTTGTAAATTGACCCCAATTAGTAGGAATGTACCGATAACGTTTTTTCGGTATCGAGTACAGATATTGGGGTTTTTTGGTCCTTGTCGATACCGAATGTCCCATTATGGAAGCCAGGCAGCGTATAATGACTCACCACCTGGCTTCTTTCCTAATTAGCCCGGGAAGCCAGGCGGCGTCGGAAACAATCAGCAGGAAAGCATGGAGCCGGCTTTCTGGCCAATCAGAAGCCGGGCGCCATGTAATGACGAGTTGCCTTCCTGATTGGTCGAGAAGCTGGCCAACGCGTCATTACATGGCGCCCAGCTTCCTGATTGGTCAGGAAGCCGGCTCCATTCTTCCTTGTCACCAGGTGATAAGGGAGCATATACCCAGCTTTCTGGCCAATCAGAAAGTTGGGGAGAGTGCAATGACACGCTGCCTGGCTTCCTGATTGGCTGGGAAGCCGGCTCCATGCTTGCTCATCATAAATGACGAAGGAGGATGGAGACAGCTTCCCGGCCAATCAAAAAGCCGGGTGCCTGTAATGACGCGTTGCCCGGCTTCCTGATACCGAAAGCTCAAGTATCAGGCTAGGCTAGTATCGGTGTATGCCTGCTAATTAGAAAAAGATGTGATTCCTGAGGGAAGAATATAAAAATGCTCCATGCATACAGACATGGACAAATTTGTTGGTATCTTGCCATGAAAAAAGAATCCACAATTTCCTCTAAAATAACAACTTGAAACTGACAAAAGTTATTGCCACTGATCACAGCTGGTTTCATATGTATTAAGAAACAGATTTTGCTTTTAAGAGAATATTTCAAATGATAAAGAAACATAAATGGCATGGACAATAATGAACGTAATATTTTGTTATACAACCTTTAGAGGCAATAGCTGCACACAAGAGATTTCTGTAGCTCTCATTGAGGCTTCTGTACCTGTTAACAAGTAGTTTGTCCCACACTTCTTGAGCAAACTACTCCAACTGTCCCAGGTGTGAAGAGTGCTGTCTCCCGACTGCATATTTTAGTTTTTTCAATAGATGTTTGATGGGAATCAAAGTTTAGAGAAGGCCAATACACAATATTCTAATGTTTTGTCCTTGGTCATTGGTGGGTGCTTTTAGCTGTGTGATTTGGGTCATCATCATGTTTGAGGACCCAAGGCCTGCAACTGAGACAGAGGTTTCAGACAATGGCCACTACATTTCATTATAGAATTCTTTGATATTCTTCAGAATTCATTGTGGCCTGCACTGATTCAAGGTACTTTGTGCCAGATGGTGCAAAACAGCTACAAAATATAGCTGAACCTACTCCATGTTTCACCAGTAAGTAGAGGAGTTCTTTTCTTTGAAAGCGTCATTGTTTTATTCAATAACAAAGATGATGTAACTTCCTAAAAAGCTCCAGTTTTGTATTAAGTGTCCAAAGCATATTATCCCAGAACCACTGTGGATTGTTAATGTGTTTTAACAAATTCCTGTCTAGCTTTTTTTCCAACAGTGAAATCCACCTGGATCTTCTTCCTTTTGGCCCACTGGCACTCAAAACATGACAGATGGTGTGATCAGACATTGCTGTATCTCAACCTTGGAGTTTAACTTTTCCCTCTTTGGAAGTTTTTCTTAGCTGTTTGTCCACCATCCCCACTATCCTTCTGTTCAATTGATTTTCCTCTTGCAGCCACATCCAGGGAGTTTGTCTACATGAACTTACCAATAATATTTACAACTGTAGTCACAGGAGCATCAAGCTGTTTGGAAATGTTTGTGTAGCCTTTACTTTTTACATACAGATCTATCATTTTCTTTCCGATCTCCACAGACAACTCTCTCTCCTTTGCTTTCTCTGGTCCATGTTCAGTGTGGTGCACATGATGATTCCGAACAGCAGAATGACTACATTTCTACAGTAAAATAGGCAGGCTGGCTGACTGATTATGAGATTGAAGAAAACCAATTACAGAAAAAAGGTTAAAATCCTACTATGATTTATAATTTCTCTAAGGGTACCAACAAATCTGTCCAGGCCATTTTAGAATATCTTTGTAGAATAAGGCATAATTTATATATTTTCGTACTTTCTAGCTTTACTCTCTGACATATCAAAGACATGCAGGTATATATTAAACAACTGATTTAAATTCCATCACTTTTGCAGAGGAGTAAAGCATTGTTTAAAATATCCGTCATGGTACCAATACATTTACCCACATCTGTACAGCAAGCAGAAATATGTGGAAGCAAAATGCCTATTTAAAAGGAAAATAGTATATGTTTACATATTGTGTACATACCTTCATCTGCCTCTTTCTTTTGACGCTTGGCAGTTGCCTCTTTGTCATTCAACTCTTGATCCTGTTTATCTTGTTCTGAAATATTTTCTAATTTTCTTTTGGTTATCTGCTTGCGAGCTGTAGCCAAACAGTAAAGAAACAAATATCAAGAATTAATGTAACAAACTATTTTAATTTGCATTCCAACATTATGTGATAAAATGCAACATACCTGTTTTGCGTTTGGGAATGTTGGAAGCAGTAACAGAAGCATCTGGTGAAGCAGCATTGGAGGATTTTTCACTGGAATCCCCATTTCCACCTTCCCCTGAAACAGCAACTGGTGGAGTAGCTGGCTAAAAAAAAAAAGCAGAAAACATAACTATATCTACATGAAAAGGGCTATTAATGCAAATGTGATATTTATACTAATGAGGGTTGTCATATAAGATAACAATGCAAGCTACCATTCACTTAAATAGCATTAGACAGTCATTGCATCTTATCTAGGCTAACGGAGTACAACACCCACCAACCTGCCATGCTATACTTTTGCTGCTACTGTGTAGCTATTGCTTAAAGGGTTATTAAACCTTCACGTGTTTTTGCATATATCTACTGCTAGCAAGCAGTAGATATATACAAAAACTGTAAAAAAAAAAAAAAACCTTTTGAAACCGGTTTAAACTTACCTGTGTCTTCGCCACGCGCTCCCGTCCGAACATCTGAAGAGTCTCGGGCGACCGCAAAAGGATCTTGGGACGGGTGCATTCGCAGTTCAGATGTTCGGCCGGGAGACGAGAAGAGACACAAGATAAGTCTATAGAGCAGGGTGCGCCCGCACAGACTCTGTGGGACATCAGAGAAGAGGAGGACAGAGGAGTCAGTACTGGATGAGAGACCCGCACCAGCGCTGGAGGGACATCTGAAAGTAAGGAAGATGATAATGTCTCCACTGAAACAATAGATTAGGAGATGTTCACATTCTCGCCTTGTCTGGTTACGTATGAACTCACAAAAATACTCTCCTTCCTGCTATACAACATCTGCACCACTATAAAAAAAAATGCAAATCCCATTAAAGAATGAAAAAAAAGAAAACCTTATATCTTAGAAACCCAAATGGAAGAAAACATTTTATAATTTTTTATTTATATAACACTGAAAAACATGCATAGCTCCCTAAGAAACCACTCAGACAATCCGCCATAAATGACCCGGGTCAATTAGAAAAAAAACATTAAATTCAACAGATTGGGAAAACCCGAGAAGCACATGGACCTACATTTCTGTTGCAGATTTCCTCTCCATCTGGTGAAGCAATTGTTACCATAACAAGAAGTGAGGGTAAATCTCTCAGATCCTCGGACAGCAGTGAGAAGTTGATGGATTTTAATCCTACCCTGCTCTATCCAAATCTAAAAATATGTTAGGGTTGGACATACACTTCAGTTTCTTTCAGAAAGCAGATTTGCAAAGACCAGGGTAGTGAACGGTAGACCAACAAAGGCTTTCAACAAATAAATGCTATGCAACATTCGTCTGAATTAACACATGTTGAGTTAATCAGATCAATGAACAGTTCATGATGGTTATTTTAAGACACACATTTTGAAATCACTGCAGCTGATTTACACTCTGCAAAGTCTGTACATGAACACTTCTAGTCCTACACAGGAGAGGTCATGAACTGATGACCTCTAATAATCTCAGGCTCTTGTTTGACACTAAACTCGGCATCTAAGCCTACAGATAAATTTCACCCACAGTAAAAAAGCTGACAGCAATTTGTCTAGAGAACTTGCTTCTTCTATAGAAGATGTATACTGCACATACATACTGTACACATGCATACTGCGCATACATCAAAGTAAAATGTTGAATAATAAGTTTAGTTATTCTTTTCTTTTTTGGCGAAGAGCCCAGTAAACATGCAGTGATACTTTGCAAGAATCTCCTGGCACGTGCCCAGATCTCAGAGTTATAAAGAGACACTGTAATCTTTACCTCCATAGGACTTGCAATGTCAGAGCTTGGAACAGCACCTGCTCTGACAAGTGGTTAGAGATAAACAACAGCCAGTGATCCTTTCATTAGGAACTGAAAGCAGAGTGTAAATGACATACTTGGGGTATTTTCAAATGTGTTAATGCTTGTGTACAATGAGATGGATTGTAGCTCCCTGTGATACGGACTGGAAAACAAGACAAGGAATTTAGATGTAGCCACACAAATATTGAAATGCAACGGTATGTTTCCTTGGGTAACCTCATTTTGTACAATGTATGGGTTTTCAAGACTTAATATGTATTGTACAGTAAGAGCAAGGGTATAGCTACTAGAAGGAGAAGAAATTCTATGTTTAGTTTGGTTTTGTACATTCTACATTTTTAATAAAGCTTTTGGGGAGGTCTGCCCAGCTTTACCCAGCTGCCAGCCCTTGCAAGACCCAGTAGGATACGTGGACCAAAAGAGTTATAGACCCAACCATGTTATATTCCATTAACATGACCTACAGATCACCAACTGGGATTCTTCCTTTGTATTGTTTAATGCTCTTCTACACAAATAGTATTCCTCTGAAGTTCTAAACCATCTACTTACTTTTACTTCTGCATATATGCTACTCATTTTCCTATTTTCGCTGTTGGTTACCTAAATATGGCACTGGCTTGTTGCCTCTGATGGTTGTGGTTTACCTATTAAAACCTTTATTCAATAAAGAATTTAACTCTAGCTAACCCAAAAATATAGATAGTTCAAAACACATACAATTTGCTGTTTTACATGCCAAGAGACTTGCTTTTTTCACCAGGCATTATCTATAATTATTATGCTAGTCCAGGGGTGGACAAACTAAATACTGAATTCAGGCTCCACTGACAAGAACTAGAGAGGACACAAAACATTAGGTGCCAGCTGTAACTTTTACGGCCCATTGGCTTCCTAGTTTCTTGAATCTGTCCAGCCCTGTGCTGGTTGCAGGTTGGTTAAGACATACTACTGCCTAGGTCCGGTCCCTGCAAACTGGACAGAGGTGATAATGCCAATTAACTGCCCAATAAGTAGGATCTGATGGCAGAGAGACGATTAAAAATAAATAAATAGGCGCTACATCATATCCATTTCTGCAGTGCCCCTTGGGAACTCAAAAGAAATCCTACCAAGACACCAACTACCTGAATGATCTTATCACTCTGAATTATCATCTACACATAGCTAGACAGGCCCTCCTACAGTGCACCCCATACTTCAAAGTTCAGCTCATTAGAGGGTACCAGCGGCAATAAAAGGCGGCAGGTTCAGCTGTCAAGACATAAGATACCTTATGGTACCTACTGGATGGTGTGACTGTTACTTTGCTGGCTACATGTTACAGGCTTACTTTACTTCCAGGAAGCCTATTTAAGTTTGTGAAGGAAACATTCATACATATTTCTTTATAGTAACACGAAGGTCCTCACCAAACTATTTATCATTAACATAAAGCTGCTACACTCTGGAGAGACTGCTATCGGAGATCAATAAAACAAACCAAAAAAAAAGACAGTACTCAGCACACCCTACCATACTCAGCAAGTACTGTTTAGCATCAAACAACTTTTTATACTTCCAATACATTAGTACAGTCTAATCAAGCAGGTAGGCTATAAAGACAGCAAAAAATAAATAAATTGTGCAATAAACATGACAGCTATCAAAACAAAAAAAGTCAAAATTATGAGAATTACACAAAGAAGTACGAAGGATAATGCTACCCCAAACTTCTAAATGTGGAAGACATGTTTAAGAATAATACAGTATGCTAACAGCAAAGAATCATATAAAATGAAACTGCACCATCTAGTGGTTCTATTGGCCACATAAAACCGTCACCGAAAAACAACATAGGTCCTGTGACGATAGGTTAGCCAACAATCTTCTCGGTATTCATTGTTTATGTCTGTTTTCCCATGTAATCTAATACTAAAATGATCATATAGAAGTATATATACACACAAGTTATGAAAAAACATTTCCAATGGATGCAAATCAAAGCAAATCCAACCATATAGCATTTGGATTTACCTTTTCTTTTTGACTTGCTTCAGAATTATCTTTTGTGGGTTCTGTGGTTTCAAAATCCATAGTCTCTTCCTCATCACTGTCCAATACCCGTGTAATCTTCTTTGGAATACGTTTTACAGGAGAATCGGAATCACTGACCAGGGTTGTACCATTTCTCTCTTTTAATGGATGTTCCCCGCCACTGCAAAACATATAAACCCTTTACAAACCAAAGAGCAGCAAACCAAAACTCAATATGCAATTAAACCTATTTGAACAAACATTATATCTTTAATCAAACAGTGCCTACAGATAAAAGAGATATCCTTGAATAAGAACAAGAAAAATTTGCCTTTCCAATTATTTATTCAACAGAAATATCAATAGATGTAATGGTGTACTGTGGAAAAAGTAAGTGGCATCAAAGCATTGTCTCAGTGACATTTCTGACCACTTCTCCATGCAAATTTACTTCAGTTGCAAAATGTTTTTGGATTTCCTTGCATGAATTGCTCGTTGTAAAACACTACTCCGAAATTTCAATGGGGATTAAAACAGGGTTATGATTAGGGTAGTCCATAACCCTCTATTTCTTATTTTTAAGACATTCCTTGGTGGCTTTGCTCGTGTTTCATTATTACGCTGAACAGACTCATTTTCGGTTGTGCCTCACATTCTCACCAAGCACACTTTAATATGATGCAGAACGTATAGCTAACTCAATGAATGTGAGCTGTCCAGACACTGAAGCAGCACAGCAATCCCAAACCATAACATTTCCATCACCATGCATGACAATTGCAATGAGGTTCTTCTTTTGAAATATTATCTTCAGTTTGTGTCAAATAGGCCTACTGATACTGTGACCAAACAACGCTAACTCTGATTGATCAGTCTTTGGCCATATGTTCAATAGCAAACTGTAATCTTGCTCTTTTTGAACAACAAAGGCTTTTTCTTACCTTATGCAGGCTGAAGAGGTGCAATCTGTTTATGATTGTAGATGAATGCACTTTGACCCAAGCTGTTGCAACACACCTGAATACCCTGCATTGAGGTTTTTGGAGACTTTTTTTTATTTTAGCAGCAAACGGGGTTAGCTCCTGGGTTGCATATGCTGGGTCAGTAGGTCCTTGACAAATGGTTGCCACTTTTAAATTATTTTTCGTACAGTGCAATAATTTATTTCAAAGAATTTAGAGTTTTTAAAAGCCGTTTCCCGGCTCAAAGACATCCACAACATTCTTTCTGAAGGCCATAGAGAGCTCTTTTGATGTTTGCATGATGACATCACACATGTCAACAGCAAAAGATACAACCAGACCCATGATATCTGAGGTTTACATCAGACAGGTTCCACCTGCATACTTCCCTAACAAAAGGTTCTAATCATTGGCACCTAATCTGGAACACGTGGTTCTAATTTTATGGATCTGAAGCGGTGTACTTACTTATTTCATACGACAAATCTGCATTTATGTTAATTTAGATCATGAAAATGAATATGTAATGTGCATTTTATGTGTCATTTGTTCAAGTAAAATTGTAGAAGTGTCACCAGCACACTAGTCCTTTTAGGATAGCAAAAGCTTCATTTATTGAAGTTCTTTGTCATATGAACAAGCGCTTTCGGGACCACACAGGGTCCCTTCATCAGGCTTTAGCATTGTGTGGTCCCGAAAGCGCTTGTTCATATGACAAAGAACTTCAATAAATGAAGCTTTTGCTATCCTAAAAGGATTGGTGTGCTGGTGACACTTCTACAATTCTACCGATATTTGCGGCGCCATCCGCAGTCACTGCGAGGACCCCGCACTACAAGGGACATTTCGGTAAGGAGTGCAACAAGGATAGTATTTATTATTTGTTTAAGTAAATCACCTTTATCTGTAGGCACTGATTGAATCAGGATCTAATGTTTTCCTTTTCAAATATGTTGGAAAAGTCAACAATTTTCATGCGGTGTACAACTTTTTCACATGACTGTAATTCTGCAATACTAGTACATACCTGCACTACAAAAGTAAAAAACTAGTCTTGCATAAAATGAATTGAGAGGTAAAAATGGTACAGATAGTATTGTATTTACTCTATACATTCTAGAAATCCTGAATGTGGTGGCTTAGCATTTTTGATTTACATCTCTACTTCTTATCTTGGTTTCATTCCCACCAAGGACAGTCTCTGCAAGGAGTTTGTATGTTTTCCTAAGTTAGTGAAGGTTTCTACTGTTTTCTCCAGATTCCGCCACAATTCCAAGTTTTACTGCTTAGTTAACCAATCCTGAATTGTGTGTTCATAGTATGTGCTAGGGACACTGTCCCCTTCTATGGGACAAAGATCAGATAAAATGTTCAACATTGATGTTTCAATGATTTGTAAAGTGCTGTGGAAAAGAGTGAACGCTAAATAAATGGGAAAAGGAACAAATGTCCCTAAATGTCAAACGTATTTAGATATATACAGATAAAAAACACTTAATTTATTTACAAAAACAAAATCTTTAAGTAAATGTATGTAAAGACAATTTTTTTGGGATAGGGTAGAAAGAAAGGGTTAGAACCCATGTTGGTATTTGTTTTTTTGCTGTCTGTGTCACCATTAGGTAGATACCCTCTGTAAGTGTCAAAGTGATCATTGTCACCGATACATAAAAAGAAGGAAAGATTGAACATTTTGGAGTTAACAATAGGACAAGAAGTGGTAGTAAATCTTTCCATTTTTCCGTTCTGCGTCTGTTCTGGTGACAACATCCTAAAATGGGTATTCCCCTCACTAGAGATCTTACTTCTGTTCTGGAGCCACAACAAGAAGTGCAGCGAAACCTGCTGAATGGCACACAGACAGCGAAAAATAAACCAGCAGGGAGTTTAACCCTTCCCCATTATACAAAACTATAAACATATTTTCTGAAATAAAGTAGATACATTTTCATACATATAGGTTAAAATAAATATATATAAGAAGCATCCTGTATGTTTTCTGAAGAGTGGCATGTCAGTTCTGTAATTTGGGACATTGTAAACATTTTCTCCATACAAAGTTACCTGCAAATCAGTGGTGAGTTGTTGTGACTATGGTTAAGTGTGAGCAAATCCGATTAATAGTTTGCTAGTCGTGCATGAATTTCTTGAAACAATAACAAAGACAAATATAGTTTTTCAGCTGCAGTGAAAGTAAATGCTTACTTTTTACTGGTAGTAGTACATTTCTCTTTTCGAGAACCATGATCTTTTTTTTTCTCTTCCTTCTTTATAGCCCCTCCTGGTTTAGGCTGGAAAAATGACCTTGCAATGCAGAAAGAGAGCACATGTAATACACACAAATAAAGGGTTACAATACAATGTTGGTGGGGATTCTGCACAGCAATGTTGCTTTTCTAGGAAGCAGGACTGCAACAAAGAAAAAAAACCCATCAGATGTGGAGGTTTAACAGGCAAAATGCTTACAAATGGCACACAACCAGCACCAATGTTTTCTGACAGGCTGAAGCGTGCTACTATAGGAAACCTGTAGTAAGAGTACATGGAGACTGCCTCTGCTGACCCACCCTTCTGCAAGAGGTTTGTGTGCTTAGTTGTCATGTACACTGTCAAGAAGGTGTCCTGTTCTCACTTTTCTGACTTTCTAATCTAGGAGCAGGTAAGTGCCTGAAATATTAAAGCCACATAAAGCCAGACACCTCATGTTTTTCACAGTAGAGGTTACCCTTTAAAGACACCATTATAAGGAACCATAATCTGATGAATGTGTAATATACCGTGAAGGCCAAATACCACGTCACTCTGACGGGCAAAACTTTACAACCTAATGATGGTGCCATTGCTTGCCCAACCTCCTGCATATACCTACTGGCCAGTGAGGCTGCCCATCATAGTGATCTACTTAAGGTCAATAGGAATGTGTGGTGACAGGGCCCAGTTGCAAGTTCCAATACTACCTGAAGTGTCAGAGCAGATCAGAACGGTTCGTGATTCAGCTGTGATAGGAGGGTTTGGGAGGTTGCTGCGGGTACATTCAGCTGCACTTTATACCTGCAGCAGTTTGATATTTGTTCCCCAAGACAGAGTCTCTAAGCCATACCACCGTGATATGCATGCTGCGTTGTCCATAGCTGCCAAATACGATTACTGTGCAACAGTTACAATTTGTAGTCAGAGCCCCACTGATATGCACCTGAACACAGAGAGGCTGAACCTGCCTAACTTGGCCTGAGGTGTGCCATGGTCGCTATGGACAGTATGCTAATAAGGGGGCATACTCAGGAGTAAAAATGCTGCCAGAAAGGGGTACGGGCGAGTGGGGTGTCACGAACGTAACGGCAGGTGAGTAGGGGAAACAGGGGTTTAAATGTGTGGGGCCCCTCCCACAAATACGGCTAACAAGTTAGCCTCAAACTTATCTTTTTCTCCAAAGTATTCAAAGAAATAATTTATTTCATCACTATTACTATAACGTACATACAACAAAAAATAATTTATCATTAAGACATTTTATAGTACATTACGGTCCTCCTGAGCTCAATTACTTATCAACACTTTCTTGTATAAATTATAGATAAAAAGCTATTAGTTTTATGCCTTGGTGCTTTGCACCCACTACCGTGATTTGTTTTCAAAGAGTGTTAACTAGCCTTTAGATTTGTGAAGTCTCCGATTACTGCAGCTGTCAGTTGCTCTCTCCCTCAATCCTTTCTGACTGACATGAAATCATACCCCACATGTACTACTTCCCATATCCACTGTGCTTTTTATAAATATGATATGCAAGAGATCCTGGTGATGAGAGATGGACGCCCACACAACAGGAGCAGACGGCAACATTCATATGTGTGGTATATTTTAATATGCCAATTTTTAAACATGCTGAACATAATCTGACATTTAGCACATATTTAGCAATTAAAGCCCAACTGCAGCTAAAACCTTTTTTTTAGAGTTGGAATGATTTAGAACTTCTGTCAAGATTTTGTTTCTCTCTGTATCCTAATTAGGAATATTTCTCATAACATGTGCCAAAAAGTTGGACAAGATCGGTGAACCAGCCTACAACTACGGAAAGGAGAAATCTGCAACAAGTCAGAAGAAAAATACACTCTGGGGAATTTATCAAAACTGGAGCAGAAAGAATCTGGAGCAGTTGCCAGTGGCAACCAATCAGCATCTCTCTTCAGTTTGCTCAGGTAAGATTTGAAAATGAGAGAGAGAAGCTGATTGGCTGCAGTGCAAATCTGCTCAAGATTCTGCCTGCTCCAGTTTTGATAAATTCCCCCCACTGTCTCCTCCAAAATCCTGTTGCCTGAAGGAAAAGCAATAACTTGAGGTAAGAGGAAGATGTGGGGGAAAAAGCAACAGCAGAAATGAGAGGGCACTATAACCACCTTCAAGAAAACCGAAAACAGGCTCCTGAAGCTGTGCAAAGCAGAGAATTTAAAAAGCGATGCAAAAAAAAGGAATAAGCAGAACAAACTTCTACAATGATCACTTGAAATTTGAGAAAAAGTATTTTCACAAAAGTGAAAATGCGAATCCTTGGAAATGTCAATAGAGGAAATTGAAAAACATCTCAGAACCCACACTGATGAGCGAAAAGAAAAAAAAGAGATGCTTGTCCCAACTGACCTACCACCAACCTCATCCCTACAACATCAACATCACCCCCACAACATCAAAATTAAACATCAGTCCTCCCAAGCTGAGTGAGGTGCACCAACAGACTTCTGAAAAAGCTTCACAAAAAACATCACGTGAGTGAGAATGAAGATCAAGTGTAGAATCATTTCCATTGGCAAAGGTTAAGTTATGGAGCAAAGCTTCCACATTGAACACCTGTCCCAACCGTTTTAGAAATGCCAGTGAAGAGCTTCAGCAGATGGTATAATGCAAAACTCAAGGACACCAAACAATTTAAACAACTTAAAAAGGACACTATCATGCTTGTAGATTGCATCAGCAAGATTTTGCTGCCAGAAATACTCAAGCTGTGATGCTTTCAGTCTGGCATACTCCCACGATTTGTGAGAACTCCAACAGTGTATGAAATCTCCATCAACAAAAAGTTCAAAATCAGCTGTCACTGGAGACCGAGCTGGCGGTGAGGGGGAGGTGTCAGCTGTCAAATGAGACTGAGCTTTCCTCCCTGCACTGCCCGCTCAGCCTCCTGTGAGAGCCGATCTAGGATGAAGAACGGTATACAAACATTCAGCAATCAGTGATCACTGAATGTTTGTAAATAATCAGACATACTATGAGATACTTTTTACCATTTATGAATGAATAGGAAGTGATCGACATTGCTTCCTATTCATTCATGATTGTGTACATAGTAACTCACACTATATCCACAATGTATGAATGAACACTCAGTACAGTATAGAGGATTCCTGTTCATTCAGTGCTGGGGCTGCAGAAAAAGAGATTAAGGACTTTGTGTCCTAGAGAGACTCTGTGTGTTTAGATTGTACATATTTCCCCGAGCCCCCAACAGTAAAGTTAAAAAAATGTAATAAAAATAAATAAAATATTTAAAAAATGTAAAAGTTTAGAAAAAAATATTAAAAATGTAAAAAGGTTAAATAAAAGAATTTTTTTTTTTTTTCAGTTTCAAAATTTCATTTCAGTGCACCTCTAATGCAAACCATAAACGGTGCTCCAGGCATTAGGCTGCAGCACACCTGTGGGACTTCATTATTTAATAAGAAAGTCTCTAGTCTTCTCATTACTTCTTTATACCAAAACAGCAACATAATTGTTTAAACTTACTTTATTGACCGCTGCATCTTCAAACAGTAACAATGAATAAAAGGTCTGAAACCAGAGATCCCTGTGAACAAAAAACAAATAGTTAACCACAATGTTACTTACTTCATATGCAAGAGAACACTTAAAAGAAATAAATGATTACAATACAGTGTAGAAGACAAGGTTGTTATATGAATTGTTTCTTGTGCATGCCAGGTACAAAAAAAACGCGTCATATATTCATTCTCAAAGTTTGTTCTAATTCTGGGTAGTTCACTGCAGAGCACAAGGCCCAGGTGGAGGACTGGATGGAGCCCAGAGAAGGCCCCTCAGGTCTTCAGAATGAATACAGACTTTTCTCTACTATCTTGTTAAATGAAACCATCACCATCAGAAATACTTTGCTGATCTATCCTTCTGAAAATAGAAGATGGTGATGTAAAAAAAAAAAATTAGACGATCCGAATTTATTCTGATTACTTGTTTTAGGTGAATGGATCAAATTAGTGAACCCAGAGACAGCCAAGCAGCTAGCTTTTTCAATAATCTCAGCAGTTGTCCTTAAGACCCATTCACACCATAATGTTGTGTTAATCGCACAGCACACCTGGCATGTGTTACCACGTGTTGCCGTGTGGCACCCCAACACACCCCATGGTAGCAGAAAATCATGGGTTGTGGTGAAAATATTTGTATATGCAACACACCATATTGCGGTACCACATGTTACACTGCAATGCATGTTGGCCAGGAGGTGTGTTGGGATACTATCGCACTTACCACTTGGTGCGCTGTTTGATAGCGTCCGTTGATTACGCGTTATGGTGTGAATGGACCACTAAAGTGAACATGTGGCCAGGCCATGTACAGTCTAATATTCTTACTAAGCAGTAGTCGAGCTCTAAAAGAAGCCCCAGTGACCTCTGTGCCGGCAGGCAATGGTACAATTCCACATAAGCTGGCCATACACTGAGCCAATAGATATACATACCGGAACCTCTGACCTGATTGGCTGCTAGGCTGGTGCCTGCAGCCTCGCTCCCCCCTCCATTCCGGCGGTCTAAGATCCAGTGAGTCATAATGTATACACTGTATTGGACGTGAGGATGTCGAGGGACATGCTATCGCCGGAGCGGTGGGGGAGTGAAGGCTAGCAGCCAGCCAGGACCAAGGCGGGGGAAGCCCCACTGAAAGAGTTAAGATTTCATATGGCCACAGTTCCTCTTTAAGGCACAAATGACCGACTGAAATGTCAATGACTGAATAAGCAACAGTCACTGATGATGGGTCATCCATGTGTGTGTTTGTGTTTGTATACACACAATTAAACTTGAAGTGACATTAAAGCCAAAAAAAATTCCCCTCCCCCCATGTAAATGTTAGCACTTACCTCAAAAGATGTCTCTTATTCTGATCTTCCTCTTCTTTCCCCATGTTTTCATGTGTCCCTCCAGCGGTGTGACGTCACTCCGATCCAGCGCTGACTGCTCTGTCTCTCCGATCCAGCGGTGTCTGCAGGCGGGTGCACGTGTCCATAGACTTACCTTGCGTCTCTGCTCGTCTCTTGCGTATCTTGTCTACTGGACTAATACGGCTTACCCATTTATATTGCACTATGTGTATGTGTATGTGTATGTGTGTGTGTATATATATATGTATAT